TACTGTCACATGAAATCGGTATCTTTACGGGAAAGTTCTGAAAAACGAGGAAAAAATGAAAAAAGGCAACTAAGAGTTTGAACAAATCTACTGGTAGCCAATAGTGTTCCTTTTCCCGCTCATTTCACTCCTTTGGTGCCTGACTACTTTGTGGATGTCAAGCGTGACATCGCTCAGTTTTTGCAGTAGGGAATGAGGACGAGGTAGTTCGGAGGTGAAGGGAAGGGACTGGAAATTAGGAGGGAAAAATACGTGATGGAGAGGAACGAGAGTAGGATCGTCCGGGAGGGAAAACGAGAATGTACTTTGCTTTTCCTCTCCATACATGAGAAGATCTTGAGACCCGCCTCACATTATCACCGATGTTTTTCTGTTTGTACAATAAATCTCGAGAAAAGAGTTTCCTGAGACTTTTTCTGCTGCTCCCGAAGGGCACGTATTATTACAAGGTTCGTTGATGAATCGACATGATTATTCATGCAGCGAGTCTTACTGCTCAGACACTACTTAATAATTCAGACAAGAGAGACTGGTGGAATTTATCACCTGTGACAGAAAAAAGAAACATGTCTCGCAGCAAACGACCATTCGCGAGACATTCATCATTGCAGCGAGGTGGCAAGCACGATTATCTGTTCGATGCTCTCCCATGACCCCATTTTCCAATTCTAACTACTCCACGGCATTTCCTCACAAAAATTCATTGTGATGACATGAGAAGTCGAACTCTTTATTCCAAAATTAACCCACATCTGCAGGGAAGTTCGATAAACAACAGCAGATGAAGTCATACTGTAAACCCCAACAGATTCCAACATTTGGTTCTGGCGAAAATACCATAAGATACGTTAATACAAGCCCTCGCTTATAGAGATCATGACTACTGTAAAATCTCCTGTCGCAGCCAAGTAAATAAGTAAGGTTCCATTGACTGTATTGGCAAACCGATGATGTTCTTGATTCGTCCACATTCTCTTGGAAGACCTGGCAGTTTTTGCATCTGGCAACATCATTATTCAGAACTCTCACCTCTTTCCATCATGGAATCTGCATTTTTAAAAGAATCTCGTGGGTGCATAGGGGGAAGGAAAGAAGATCCAATATCACAATAATCTATATACAATAATCTAATCTTCATTTTATATTTTTAGTTTCTTTATTCAGTATGTTTTAGTGAATTAGGAAAGTTTTTCTGATGTGTTCAATGGTTGAGTTGGATATGAAAATTTGTTATTTCATAGAGATCGTACCAGTACTAAGTGAAGCAGGTGTCAGCCATGACATTCGAATTCCCTGCTAATATGTACAAATTTTGTCAGAAAAGAAGCCCGCAACTTCTAATGTAATTATGATGCATAACGATGGCTGCTCCGAAGTTAAGAATTTTAAAATTAAATATGATCCATTCATATTACCTGAAAATTAAGTATGATTCTTCCATTCTACTCTGCAAAAATACATTTTATAATTAGGTAGCAATTTTCGCTAGTAATTTCAGCAGGCCATCCCTTAAATGAGAGAAATTCGTTCTTCTGTTGGTAATATTATTTCTGGAAATGAAGAACTTTCCAACTTGCTATTTTTATTTCCAGTCAAAAGCTAGTATATTTTCGGATTTCTTTTTCGCAAAGTGTGTCATCATTTTTTTTGCGATAAGAATTTCCAACGTTTCATAAATATGTTTTACCTCGAGAGTGAAATCAGTTCGAGAGGGGCAGGAATGGGAATGAAAACGTTCGGGATTGAAGGGCGTCAAATATCGGAGAAATTGAGACGAGAAAGAAAGGGACGAGAGCAGAAATATTTGCAGAATCTCTCGGATTTTCCCTCTAGGAACGAGGAGAGAGGGAGTAACCGCCTTATCTCGTGAGGAAAAAATGATGCACCCTTACGAATTTACTTTACTTTTCGGTTTGTCGGCCTCACAATGCCAATTCCCTCTGTTTATGACTGCAACACGAGGAAAGAAGTAGTTACCCCTGCCTTTCCTGCTGATGACGAAGGGAACCTTTTATAACAAGGCCCATTGATGAATTGGCGTGATCATCCAGCGATTCTTACTGCTCGGGCACTACTTGGGCTCGGGCATTCAGATGTAGCGAGACGGGTGGAATTAACCTCCTGTGGCTGACAAAAGAAACATTATGTATTGTAACCAACGACCATTTGTGAGGTATACATCATTGCAGTGATGAGACGAGATCTATTATCTGTTTGATGCTTTTCGTGACTCGTTTTACATTTCTAACTACTGTATTACATGTCCTCGTATTGCCTGTTGTGGTGACATGAGGTCAAAACCTTTATTCTAAAATTCAGTCACATATGCCGGTAGGTCATATAAGCCACAGTAGGCGTCAAAGTATTGTCAATAGCACCGAAAGTACTATTGACAATTATTATTGAAAGTATATATTCATTTGCAGTTGAACTCAGGCATAACGTTTTAACTAAACCCTTGTTAATTGTGATAAAATTATAATGTCTTGGCAAAGTGGCCATAAGTTGCATGTATTCATGCCTTCGCCTATTGAGATCTTAGATATAGCCTGGATCTTCTGTCATAGCCATGAGGATATACGGTCCAATCGACTGAATATGCAAAGTCATAAAGAACTTCATGACATTGCATATTCATGAACTTCCACTGCAAGGAACATGACTATTGCGAACTCGTAACTTTCTCCATTCTCGACGTGAATCTGCTTCCCATTAGTGTCTCGTGGGTTCGTATGAGGAAGGAGAGGTCCACGATCGCCCAAGTATTATCAGTTGCTATTTTTATTTTTATTTTTTAGTTTTTTTGCGAAAGTCGAACTATGAAGGCTTCAATTACCCTCGTATTGTAAATAATAATTGAAAGGGATTCGAATTTAACTTCCTTGATGGAGAATGGAAAGTTGACCTTCGTTGCGAGATTCAAATTCCGTGATTGAAGGTAAAACTTTGCCCGAAAAAAGAAGCCCATAACTTCACATGCAATTATTATGCACAGCAGTGACAGCTTGGAAGTTAAAGCATTGTTTTGAATTGTGCACATATTCTTCAAATCGCCTGAAAACAAACTACATGTCCTCCATTCTACGCCGGGAAAAATATTATAATATAATATTATTATTATTACAAAACCAATGAAATGAGCCTAAGCAGGATTTCTGAATTCTTGCATGACAGGCTTATTTTGATCTGTCGCCTGGAAAAATCATAGTTGAAAAAAATATGCTAAAAAATGTGTCTCCGCCGAAGGTGTGGAACAGCACGAACACCATCTTGGAGTCGATATGCAGGGGGGCAATGGGTTCGTCTTTCAACGATCGGACATTGTGAAGTCAACCATGTGTCCTGGGTGAGCGAGTCACTGAAGAGTTACTCATTCATACGCATTAAAAATACATTTGATACTTTGTGAAAATGGATTCTCGTACCGGGCAGGACGTGGAAGTTACAAAGGAGTGCAATATTCCCCTTCAACGATTACGGCAACGAATCTAGAGGCAGTGAATATGTGCCGATTATCATGGCACGGCGGCGGAGAGCTGGCTGAAATGGATTCCATGGAAAAGCTTCTCTGGCTTCGAAATTCTCGAGCAATTCCCTTGCATCAGCTGTACGACAGTTGGTCCGAGTGCCCTGAAGAAAGTATTCAGTCAGACGTTTTAAAAATGCCCGTTAAACCTTCATAAGAAGGACATCCGAGAAATTAATCGTACCCAAGAGGCAAATAAATGGAAAGTGAAAATCGAGAAAACTAGACAATTTATAGTAGATTCAGTAAAGCATCTAAGTTTCCCCGATTGGGCCGTTCAACATGTGGAACCCAATAACAAGCGAAAACACGTCAAACCATCTACAAGTTCATTTTTAAAAAAGCAATTAGACTTTTCCACCGTTTTTCAATAGGCTCTCTGAGTTCCGAGAGAAAGCTATCCCACACCAAGTGACTGGACGTTTGGACCGAAATTAAGACACTTTTATTACTCAGATCAATGTATAAGATTTTTTTTCTTGAGGTTGTTAAGCTCTTCGATTCTCAATTTAGAACGAATTGGGCGAACGTGCTCACGACAATGGGTCATTGGTACAACCCATCTGGAGTCTGGGTTGCACGAAACGAATTCTCTCTCGATTCCAAGCTTTCATCATCAGGAACCGAACAACTTTGATGGATCCAGTCGGCAATAGTTCTTTATCACCGGTGACACCGCTATCGACCAGAAGTGCAAAAGCTTCCGAGTCTTCCGTGTTTGCTCCTGCGAAAATAAAGTTATGCCAAAGCGTCGAATCATCCGTTCCTTCCGAAAAGTTTTGTAAATGGTTGGTACAGGTAGCAGTTAGATTGGTACAACTTATAACTTATCTATTTGTTTGTGTAGTTATTGAAGTCATTTCACGCTAGAAATATGCCAAATTACTGTTTCCAGCACTCCCTGTAATGAATTTGCAATTTACGACACTGGCTTCATGCCATGCATCATTCATTCATCTTACGCCTTTTCGAATCAATAACTGAAATCAGTTTGAAAATAATAGCAGTATGGTAACTGTTCCTTTTACAGTTAAGTTACCTTAAAATTTCCAGGAGATATTTTGAAACTTCTCAGTTATTCCTTAAAGTAACATGCCTATTACGCTGCCCGCAAAATATATAGTTGTTTTTTAATAGAGGAGTACACTGGCGTTAAGACTCACATTAATCTTTCCTTATTCCCCGCTAGGATGCAATGTCCCGCCAGAAGCTCCTGAGAACAGCACTCGCTTGGGGACGTTCAAGGAGAGATATGATGTACATGAGAATGGCACTTAAGCTTGCGGACAGAAGATGCACTGGAGGAATAATTCTCTCGGCTGGAACGCAAGTGGATATGACATGGATCGAATTACCTCAGATCGAATGTCTCGGATCCATCGACCTCACAACTTGTTTAGCAGGTGCTTAAATTATTCCATACCGCTTGATTCGTTAAGAAACTTTTGCAAAAGATCTTGTTTCAATGCCACAGGATTCCATATCGGAAACGGAACCACATTGTACTACCTCGAAGGAGAAACGGAAATCGCCAACGTGACTGATTTTTTCGATGCCATGGAATTCTGCAAGACCAAGCACGAAGGATCCGAGAACTCCCCAGAAGCAGAGACGTTCCTCATCGCAACGAACTTGAGGTAAATTGCCACTTCCCGCGTGCTCCATCAACAAGCCTTTTCCATGTCTTGCGTTTTCTTCTTCTTGCAATCGTCCAACACTCATCCTGAATCGCAAAAAAACAGACGGAAGGTGCTGGATGGGGAGGATGAAGAAAGGATTTGGAAATTCTCGGATGGTTTGAAAGTTCTGAGTCAACTCTTCGATCCGAAATATTCAGAAACGGGAGAAGGACCATGTGCCATTTTCAGTGTCGAATAGCTTGTTTATTAGAAACTATGAATGCTCATTGGAAGAACTGAATAATGTCTACATCTTGTGCCAGGAGCGCAAGGAGACCAGTAATGAGGTCTTCCCAAATGCCTATATGGAAAATCTTTGAATTTTATAACGATTTTATTCAAATTTTCCGTCAGATTGGAATGAGAATCCGCCACAGGTCTCGGGTGCATCGTTGACTTCCTCCCCAATGACTCCTCCACCTTACCATCGAAGAGCAGAAGTCAAATACAAATACGATTGCAAAAGAAGTTTGAAGAAGAACATGCACGAAATGCGCCTGACGACGAAGTGCATGGGACTACGAGACTGGATGTCCTTTCCTTCCTCCGTCGAGAGTGAGTGCTTCTACATGTTTTTCTTTCAAATCAGTTGTTAAAACGCTAAACTCAAAATAAGATCAACTGGTATGAAAAATGGGAAAAAAGTGTATACTGAGGAATTCATCGACCAGCGAAAAATACATTGTTCATCTTTAAAACCATAGGCAACAGGAGTTTCTTATTGGAAAATATCTCGTACGAGATAGTCGTACCAGCCAGGGGCAACGACACAAGGGAATTTCGTGGGAGTAGAATATTGTTACTCAAAGGTCTCCAGCAACTCTGGTTTTGCCTGAAAACCCCGATCCATTCCTGAAGTTATAATGTGGTTCAAATCATTTAGCTTGAGGCATAATTAAGAGAGATATTTATTTTTAAAATGTTTCCATACCTTTTGGGACACTTTGTATTCAGCAAAAATTTTCCTTTTGTTACTATGTTATCGATTGCCTTCAGGATATCTTAAACATCTTCCCTCATACCTCTTCCCTCTTTGTATCTTCCCTCGCACTATACCTATCGTCACCCTTTGTGTGTGTGTGTGTGTATACGTGTGTGTTTGTGCGTGGACATTTGTGTGGGTACTCGCAAGCGTATGTGCGAGCGTCTAGCTGTTGGAGTGAGGGGTTCCATTATTCCTCTTTCGTCTTTCCATGTGAGGCTCTTCCTTCCTGTATCTCATTTGTGTGGTATGATGTCTTTTTTGCATCTGAGTTTCCAGTCGACCAGACCCTGTATGATGACACTGTTTCCATGCCACTCGGTGAGTGTTAACCGGAAAGGCCTTTGCATGTCCATCTCTCCCTCAACTGAGTAAAATGGTTCTGGTGACCGAGACTTCCGCTGATCATCGAATGCCATTTTGTTCTAGCGTGGCTTCGTCGAGACGCATCTCTTTGACCTTGAACCCAGTGATGCGAATTTCGACCTCAAACCTCTCGTATGTCGCGTGTCGAAGCCTCCACGAGAGTTTCTTCACTTTGCAACTCAATTGTCTGATCACAGCGTGATCAAACCTTCGATCCCTTGTCTTACATTCATAAATATATATGAATGCTGTACGTATACGTATTGCATCAATTGATGGAATCAATTCCTGAAAATATCATTTTGAGATAAGAAGAAAGAGATTTCCGTTTCCCATGGTGCATAATTCATTACGCTACATTTGACTTCAAGAGTACTTTGACCCATGCGACGCCGATGTTGACACAGAAGCACACAGCTGCGCGCCTCCAGTGGGTATCACTCGTTCTCGTTACTGAGCTGAGGAATGCTTGGAGACTTACTTAGAGACATGGAAAATCCCGGTCCAAGTCTATGGTAGAGAGTCATCGGATTCGCTTGCAGCGGAAACGCTCTCGTTTCGATCGGTGGTCGATTTCAGGTTTTCTTTTCGAGTAGTCCTGGATAGGGATGGGGCGGTCAATCGACCACCATCTAATTGATCATTAATGACCTCTCTTTTTTTATTCAGTGAATTAAGAACTTTTTATAGAGCTCATAACTGTAGTCATTTATCCGCCAGCACTAAAACTAAATAGCCAGTACCAATTTTAAGTCGTATTCTTGCAGCCCGCCAAACACCTGGACTATGGCACCCATTGATTTGAAAATATTATGGCTAATGCTCAAATAACCATGAACTATCACCTGAGTAAGAGTAGAGTGTGTGTGCGGGCAAAGCCTGTTGTTCAAGGTCTTCCAGCCATAATGAGTTTGAAACTTAAGGTTCAAGGTCGATGTTACAGCAATGTCTATCATGGTCTTGGCCAACAGTCTTCCTTAGAGCATCAATTTATTCTCGGAGTCTTTGATGAAAGGGAAAGTAAATTTACTTGGATTATGCCTAGGTCTGTGCCGAAAAAAAAGTAAAATAGCTCTGAAGAACTTCCTTGAGCAAGGCAGGGCGTTTTTGACAGGAACAGGAATAATTATACCAAAAACCAAGAAAATCCGGTTTTGGACGCTATGTGTTGCATTCCTCATTACACAAAGTACTTATGTTGATTTTAAGGCGGTTCCTATTTGTGGACGGCCTGGTTCCAGTTTGTGAACGTCTACGAACATAGTTTGTGGACACTGGCTTTTGTCAACAATAATGAACATGCGTAGGCCGAATAGAAAAATATATGTTCAGCAATTTTATTCATTTTCAATGAAGTCCTGTTAAGAAATATCTTTGGAAAAAATAAAGAACAATTCAGGGGGGCTAGGTCTAAAACTAAGCGAAAATGTCTATGTTCACTCATGCCGATGGGTATGCATATTTTATGTGATGGCTGACAGGCACGTGCAAAATATGAAGTCATCAAGGTTCGAACTTCAAGAATGAATTGGGAAAGCAGAACTATGAAATAGTACTCGGAAAAAACGTCCACTTTCAAGTTGAAAAGAAAACTCCAAAGAAAAAAAAACAAAGAAAATAATGGATGAAATTATTGGACAACATCGGACAAGTAGAATATGACTCCAAATGAAATAGCTAAAAAAGCATTTAATTTGCACCGTCATGAAAGTAGATGATGAGAAGGAAGGCATAGATAGGCGATGCTTCCATACGCGCAACGACGGCGAGCCCTTATCCTCTTACGAGCGCCTCCCTCTAGTGATATCATTTGCAGGTGCACATGACTTGTGACAAGGGAAAAGACATGTGCGATTGTGAGCTCCACGCCATTCGCAGACTGGACGTTTCTGGATCCAGACACCCAGAGGATCTGGGATGTGACTGCCATTATGGTGATGCCACCCGATAACCAAGCTTTTCCTCATGGTCGCGTCGCAATTCCTGGAAATATTGCGAGTCCTGGAAAGCACTTTCATTCACACGCTTTATGACGTTTCCATGCCAGGGATACTCCATACCAGTCGGGTGCGAGCGAATGCGTAATGGGAGACCTCAGAAGACAGAGGGGACATTGGACTGGTACGATCGGCAATCGAGTTTCAGGTCGAGTGCGGGTTATGATGTGTGAGCACACAGCCCGGAGAGCGTTCGATATATTGGCATGCCAATTGCCGAAATTTCGCCTAATGCCTTGAAAATGGGACAATTTCTTGGAGATTTGATCCAAGAACTATCGCCTTCGGTCATAAGCTTTCGATTGACATCTCACTCATGAAAATCCTTTCAGCCGTCTAGGAGAAGATCTCCCGGAATGACACCCTGACATGGACAGATTATCTATTATGCATTATGTATATATCTACATGGATGAAAGATGGCCGGGCATCGAAGTCTTCCCCATCCTTTAGGAATAAGTTTTTTTCGGCGTACAAATAAATTGTCAGGAGTTTCAGATTTCTCAGTATTGCACGGTTTCCCATGCCATAGACACGCCTCGCCACCCTGTCACCTTACATAGAATGCCTTTTACTCTGAAGCGTTTCACCAGAAAATGCGTTTCTGCGCAATCTGCAAGAGACCTGTCGCCTCCATTGTGGCAAATGCGTCATCAAAAACCCTGAGTTCTCGAGCTTAGAGGCCTAAGCGGGCTGCGGGCTGCCCATGTCGGCCCAACTCGATCTGTGGCTCGGAGCAACAAGTCTCGGTCGACGATCGCTTTCCGGTTCGGGTGCGGGTCACGATACAAATTGGGCCGATCGTGCTTAAATTAGGAAAAGTTGGCCCGTGCAGGCCTCTGACGAGCAGAAAGACAAAAAAAGACGCGTAGAAACCACGTTCGCAGCGTACTTTCCGGACTTTTGACCCAATAAGTATCGCCTCCAGGTTATTAGCTTTCGATCGACTTCTCTATTATTTAATCCGTTCATCCGTCTAGGAGTTTCACGGGTTGACACACAGATAATCTTCTTATGTATATCAAGGAAGGATGAGTTCTCATTGTTCGTTCAAGAATCAACTTATATCGTTTTTAGGTGTCGACAGTGATTTTTCTTTGGTGAATATCTGCAACTTAGAAAAAACGAGCTCACCAAGTTGAAGGATTATGCTCAAGAAAAATTGCGAAAATCCATCCATTGTGGGATGCAATTCACCCCGCTGACAGACACCTGATTATGAGGAAAAGTGTTCAGATGCCACCATTAATTGCCATCAAATGCCAGATCCAGGGTCGAACAACTTCCCATCTGTCGATGACGTGCAGTTTTCAGGCTCATGAGACTTTTCCCCTGCCAGAGAACCTGTCGACGTGGCGACTTGGGGGAAGCGCTCTTGGGTATAAATTGTGCGTCCAGCGCCAGGTTCCCCACCAGAACGGCTCTGTCGACAGTGAACTATATGACTCCAAGCATGGAAGCATCCACCTTCTCCGTCTTCCTTCTCTTCGTCATATTCTCCACTTGTACTCAGGTCCAATCATATTGTCTTTGTTCCATGGAGGAATTGAATTTTCTAGTAAGCTGGATGTTCAAGAAGGTTCATGATAATTCCCGTTTCCATAGGGCGAGGAGAATGGAAGTTTGGAGAATTCCCCTCATTGTTGGAATTGCTCGATATCCCAGGTACTGTGCAGTCACCATGACATTATTAATTGAAAAGTTAATGCGAATATCAGGGGATGTAACACATTCTGTGATATCGTGTGAAAACTTCCTCCTTTATGCACGTAGGACCTACCATTCATTTTTCCCATTTTCCCCTTAATTTTCAAAATCACCCCAAGTAATTATGTTTATTCCTTGCCAGAGATATTGGCCTATATACAACATACTGGTATATCCTCATATTTTTAAACAATGGTGTTATGAATAGATAAGTCATGAGTCCCCATAGTATTACACTTCTTTTATAACATAGGACCTGTGATTCACACTTTCTCATACATACTCACCTTCTTAGATCGATTGAATCTTTTGAATATCAAACTGACCAAATAAAGCACCAAAATGTCCTAATCAATCATTCATTATACAGGTACATAAACATAGAAATGCTTTATTGCTGTCTCCATTTCCTTACTGGCCACTCATTCATCTTCATTTTCCTATGAGTCTGATCTTTCTTGAGTTAGGAAGAGTCGCATGTAAGACAAATTATTTCATTGCATCCACTCATTGTCTTCATCATGAATATTGATATATGGCAACAGGAAACTTAAAAAACGTTATGCCTGTTGCAAGACAATTGTCAAAACTTTTCTCACATTCTGTCCTCTTCCCTTTCAGGATCAAGAACCCTAAATTGCTGTGAGTTTCAAAATATTGAATTACTCCATTACATCCTTTATTAATCCAATGATTACGGTTTACGATTATTTTGTGAAATCCTGTCGGTAGTTTGCGGACAATCTCAAACGTCAACGGGAAAGAGGTCTGATGACATCCCGACGGATGTGAGCCAATTGGACTTCGACCGAATCATCGGTGGGACACCCGTTCCCAGTCAGAGGAAATATCCGTGGGTGGGATGGATGGGGACGGCCAAGAATAATTTCATCTGCACGTCGGCCCTCATCAACGATCGCTACATCCTCACTGCTGCTCATTGCGTGCAATCAAAGTAAGGATATTTTTGAACGTATACAGGGTGTCCAAAAAAAATGTATACACACTTTGATTGCTAATTACTTCTATGTTTAATTTCATAAATTCAATTTTATAATTTTATAATGAAGAAAAAATGTGAGAAAAAATTATGCATTAACGCAAGTGTTCAAAATGTCCTCCATTCTCATCCAGGCATTTTTAGTTGATATTTTCCAACTTCCAATACCACTTCAACACAAATTTCCGCTGCTCAAATGTAAGTCTGGGATTTTGCATTATTACAACCAACTTGCAACTGAAAAAGAGAAAAGGTTACTGAGTTATGGGTTGATGAAGTGTGTATACTTTTTTTTGGACACCCTGTATAATGACTGGGCCTGCTTCCGCGATGAAGGATGAATCTTCTCTTATATCCCACGGCTCTAGCCTAGCCGGGACATTTTACGTGACCCTGGGATCCTCGAACTTGTTTCAATGGCCAGCAGGTCAATCCATCCAGATTGCAGCCAAAGCCATAAGGCATCCCAATTATGATACCCAGACAATTGCAAATGATATCGCCCTCCTGAAACTTCAGACTCCCTTGAACTTCGCAGCTTACCCAAACATCCGTCTCATATGTCTCGCCTCTGCCAACCCAAGTGCCAATTCCGTGGTAACAATCGCGGGATGGGGCCGCACTTCGGGAAGTGAGTCCACGATGCATTGGAGAAAGGTTGGATGATTCACTTAATGAATTGTAAAATCTTGAACCCTCCTTCAGCTAGCAATGCCCTCCCGACGCCTTTGATGGAAACGACAGTGAACGTATTGAGTCTTCCGGCATGTCAGAGCATTTGGGGTACTGGCATCAACAGCAACTACGTATGTGTTCAAGCCACTGGGAAAAATATATGCAACGTAAGCAAGAGATTAATATGAAAATATCATCCATGACGGAACCGCCTCGTATTTGCGATGGCATCATTGTTCAATATCTTTTCAGGGTGATTCTGGCGGATCGCTCATGTACTAAAACTTCTCGAGGGTATTACCAGAGTGCCGGGGTTGCTTCGTTCGTTCGGGATAGCCTTTGTTCACCTCAATATGGCGGTGTTTTCACGAGCACAGCCAGTACGTTTTGCCAGACATCCAAAACGTGTGCATTTCCTCTTCATGCTCTCACTTTTCTGATTCTTTCCGAATTCCAGGTTACCTGAACAGCTTCATCCTTCCCAACACTCGTGACGCGCAATGGTGTGCAACACCTTGAATTTGTCCATGGTCTCCTGTTTTTCGGCTGTATGTTCCATACTTGAAATATACAGTTTGGCATCATGGCACGTCTGGGATTGTTTTCTTATTTCCTCCTACTTGAAGCTTGAGGAAATCTCGTGTTTGTGAGTGCTCAGAAAATCGGCATTGGGAGAACCAAGGGTCAATATGAAAGTTCGTAGCTACTTTCAAATGTATGGGCTTAAAGTCCTTAGAATTTTACCACCTAACCATCACATTATGGGCCAGATGGCCTTTTTCATGACTGTACCTCAAGAAGTTCAAGAGGTGTGCTAGTTTTCCTATTGCGTCTTTTGTGTCCTCAACTCATTCAGACCCCAATCGGTCTGTCAGCCGGGCTGATGCCTGGTGTCCCAAAGCGCGAATCTGTCTGCAAGCTGGCCTATGCTACTGTACCTGAATGTAATATATTGACGCAGTAACTATTCAACTGAAAGCTGGAGCTACGAGACCGTTAAAGAAAGCTTTGATTTTCAATTTGCGGAATCGATAGTTCTCTTAGATAATCTTACCAGGCAGCAGTATCAAATGTCATGTTTCTGAATGCATGAACGAAGAATTGCATGGGAAATGCCTCCAAAAAATGTATTCCCAATAGAAAATCAGTATTGTTCAGTATTGTGAGTGCGTTCTTGTGCACTTGCATTTCTATCAACTTTTCGATTTTTTATTTTCCTTGGCCGAGGATCTCGGTTACCGGAGAAATGCTTCGATGGAGCTTCTCTGTACTTGAGAGACTCAGTTCCGACAGCCATCATCGCTTTTTTTTTTCATTCCCCGTGTGATAATAGAACTTCGCCTCCGGTGGACGGGTGATTTTGGTTTGCATACTTCCCATCGTTGATTGCCGCCTCGTCCACGGGCGGAAGGTAAGAGATCGGAGTGCAAAAAGGGATCGTGTCATATGAATGATATGTTCATGAACGGAAAATTGCGATTCGCTATCGACCAGAGTCGTGCCATGAGTCATTGTCACTCCATGCCTTCGATGGGACACCTTCCACATAACACACGCGCGTTTCGGGTTTGCCAGATCAGCGAATGTCGAGTAGGCCAGGCCGGTTATAACAGGGGTGATAGTTCTATGCCTTTTCATAGCGTGGCGCTGAGGGTGCTTGCTGTCCACTCAGACTGACGCCTGCCGTCTTTAGAGAAAACGATTGCAAGAGGCTTATCGTTGTTTGGAAAATACTCATGAAAATCGTTTTTCGGGACATATAAGTTACATTTATCATCAGAAAATTTGTAAAGCTATGTACAATTTGATTGTACATATGAGAAAATATGCTCACCTTTTCATTGAAGATCTCTAAGAAAACATCCCAAGTAACAAAATATATTCAAGCAACGTTCAGGAAATGTTGAACAATGTTGCATCTATGTGTAGATGTCAAAAATGTAAACGTTGCCCAAATGTCGCGAAGGAAGATGGCATTTACGTTGTTGCAGATTGTCACTTATTCATTACACACAGTATACGTTGCAGAAACTTTTCAGAATTTATGTTGCTGCAATGTTGATGGAAAACGTTGTTTCACGGGCACTTAGTCTGGGCCTATGCTGGCATTAGGGAAAAGCATAGGCCTCACTGGTCCTAAACTGGACCGATATTAGACTAATATTGAATTATTCATTTCATAATTTTGTACCGAATACTTTACCTCTCTACCCAGACGTTCCCATCAACAGGACGAAGCCTGTACTGGTATGAACCCTACCCATGTATGATACAGCGTCTGTATCATGTACAGGCAGAAGACATAGTACATTTCTCGCGGTGATATTTCCGTGGATGTGCTAAATATGGCACATTACAGGAAAAGATCCACCCGTAATGTCCCACGGAGTGTCCACGAAGTCAGTCCTTCTTTTCCTCGTCTAGTTCTCTGGATGAGTGTATGAATGATTGAGATCACAGACTTCCTATCATCGTTTTTATGGTACTGTAGAATGAAATCGACTTCTTGGTAAGGGTTCTTTTTGGGAATATGAACTTTTTTATCTTGACCCCCATGAATCTGTCTCGAATATGAGGATAACAAGTGATGAAGTGTCCGTATTCATTGATTCTTATAATGAGACAGTGCCAGACATCTGGCAAGATACTGAACATTCCTGTGCGGGACGATTCCAGGGAAATGGAGGACACTTTTGTGTACTGTGAGAAAAGCGAAACCTACATCTCCATCTCTTGGCCAGGAGGACAACTTTACGATTCCTTAAAACTAAATCCATGTTGTATCAGAATGCTGTCGCTACGTTGTTGATGTCAAGAGTGTCAACATTCTCTCAATGTTGATAGTAATGTTGCAATGACATTCGTGGAAGTGTCGCAGCAACATTCCAAGTGAAAACATTGAAGCAATGTTTCATCAATGTTGCAGATCAACTTGCAACATAGAGCAACATTGGCAACATTTCGGAAACGTTTAATGAGTATACTGTGTTACTTGGGAAGAAGTATGCTCAGGAAAATCACGAAAGTCCATCCATTGCGGGATACAATTCAGCTCGCTGACAGGCTATGAGGAAAAGTGTCCATGTGACACCATGAATTGCGAAATGATCCCCAACGAATACCACTCGTGATATTTTGATTCCAGATAAATCAATATTGAAATTAAAATTCTGTTGAATGCTTGGTCTGGGCCTGTATATATGCTTACATTAATAAAAAGCACGTACCTAGTTTCTGTCTGAAGTCTCTGGCTGACGGCGGGCTGATCAGTTTTGCAGTCCATGGAAAGGAAAGTACCCCTTCAATTTTCAATTAAAATTACCAATGTATAACGTATGCATTGTTTACTGATGTTCATGTTTCTTTTTTCCCTCTGCTAAGCTGACATCGGAAAGGTGAACAATCAACCCTGAGTTTAAGCTGTTTAATGGACTTTTAGTTTCTATGACAGTACCTTCAATAGAAGTAGTATGTAAGAATATCAAGTTCTTCCCAATAAATTACACAGTGAGAGGGATTATACATATTTTGATGATTCGCAGTGTAGAGTGGTGATGAGTCGATTAATTGCATTCAGAGCTCGTCATGAGATGTGGAGTTCCTTCACGAATAACCTTCCAACTTCGTTGATATTCCGTGGATGCGAATAGCGTGGGTAATTACCATCAGGTATTCATGAATTTCTCCTATCCTTTCCAAATACGCCTTGTTTGTCAAGTCATGTAACCGATATTTTTTTCCCCCGATTATCGTCGTGCACTGGAGGTCTGGAGTCACTGCTGGGATCACTGAGGAGAACTGTAATTAATTTCATCGCCGTGTTTATGCAGATGAATTATGCGATTCAACTGTCTTTAAATAAGCGGATCTCTTGTGTGTGACTAAACTGGATGCTGCCAATTGTTTAAGACGTTATTGCGTATTTCGGATGCCAAGAAGATAGTGAGATAGTCCCTTCCTTTGTTAAAAATTCCCCACCCCCCCCCCCAATTTTTTGTCGTCATATAATACATTGTCTTGTCACAATTTAATTTGTGGATTATTGTTCTTCTTGTCAATAAATATTCGAATATAAACGGATGTAATTGCAATGCAATTCATTTTGTACTTAATAAATCTATGGGGATGCAAATGAAGCCGTCCTCTTTCTCAATTTGAAAAGTTTGGTTTTGGGACAATTGGCCACTCTTCCATTCTGTGCATGATCAGGGCCAGGCCTATGTGATACCCACTGAATGGGTTTCTGGCCAGTTGACTGCAACCCCTTTGCGTGCCTTAAAATGCGCATGGCTGTTGACATGATGGAAACTGGCCAATTAGCTGAAAACTCACCCTCTCCTGGACATGCGCACGCCCTCAAACAAGATGGGCAATTGGACAATTAGCTTGGAACCCACCTCCTTGGAGACATTGAACATTCTTAATTGCAGGACTCCAAATCCAGGGAAACCCATCCTGTGACAACAAAATGAAATTATTGGCCTCAATCAAGGTCATAGCTTGCAAGGTCTCGTCAAATTAAAATCATAGTACTTATCAACACTAACCATGGATTTAAATGCTCGAGGCGGGAATGAGGCATACCTTCACGTCCCTTAACTTTGTCCTAATGATACCAATATTAAAAAAAAAATAGATATTGCGAAAAATTCTTTTTTTTATGAAGCGTATTTGGCCTCAATTTGAGTACTCGTATCTTGGAATAATTATTGAGACCTGATTATTTGTCTGGGAACACTGATTGAATTCTACAAGGGATGATTACTGTCACATGGACAAAAGATGTCATTTCCAAGTGCATTGGTTTCATTGAAAGTCGATTGCATGGATTATGCTGCCACGCTGGTCCAAGGGCCTCTATGAGGAGAATAATGCCCATATCAAGAGCATTTTAAAAGCAATTTTTGCAAATAAAATCGACATTTGCTTATTTGAATTATGAAGTCTTAATTGAATCTTGCTCCGTGTGAAATGGTGTCACGACACGCTAAAATATTCAACAAAAGACGATTAAAGCTTGGGTGTTACCTTGTCCCTGGAGATGAAACTTGGATTAACTTGGATCCAGAAGGAAAACGTCAAGTTGGATCATTCCTGGTGAGCAGCCACCCATCGAAGTCCGTCGGCCTCGCAATGACGGAAAGCAAATTGTGACCACTTTCTTTCTAGTCATATCTCCACATTCCCCTTGAAGAGCGTGCAACTGTGAATGCTGAATCGTAAGCAACAACCGGCTTGCCGCGTCCTTTGAAGCAGTCCAACATTAGCTTCCAAGACTTCCAACGCAGCAAAAGAAATGTGGGACTTCTATGCCAGTCAACATGTCCACATACTAAAGATTCACCCAATTTGACCCAACTGTGATTTTTCCTCGCTTCACAGGTGCAAAGAAAAACTCCAGCGTCACCTACTTCGGAGATCCCATAATGCTCTCATTGCATACCGGGACTCTCTGGTTGACCTTGTCCAAGATGATGCAACTGCTTCGATAAAATAAGAAGTTTTAGAAATGGAGTCGTAAACGTTTCAAGTTCCATGAAATCATATATCCTTACCCATCAGGGAGACTATATCGTTAAATGGGGTCTGAC